TTAGCAAAAATTCGGCCTGTCTTAGAAACCTAGTAACTCAAAAAAACGACTTTCTATCAACCTTGGTATAGATAGTTGATATATTTATCTATATGATCTTATAAACTGATATTCTTTCTACTTTACATCCACAGTGAGTCCCACTCGTAACACCACGGTTCTGAGGAAGAGGAAAGCGAAATCGACGAAACGTCAGCCATCGACCAACAAGAACAACAACAAGAACAGCAAAGACAGCGAAGACCTATACCAACCTCGCATCACCTAAAGAAGACCAGTTTATAAAATCAGATAAATAAATAAATTTTGTAATAACAGCCTCTTTTCTGTTCAAGAAGAAAACTTAACTTTTTCATCAATGCCGAGGTTAATGAAAGGACGGTTTTGGGGATTCCCAACTGCGGTATCCTTTTTTGAGGGAGATAACGGAAGAAACTGCTCTCCATGAGAATGGCCTAAAAAAATATTTCACAGAAAAACAAAAAAAGGTCATTTAAGTTTTAAGAATTCGAAGGAGCAAGTAGCGACTGTTTCAGTTGCGACCCCATTGGAGACAACAGCTTGGACAGACCCCATTGACCACGGAGCGCCATAGAATATTCCACAAAAATGTATGCTTTTACCACCGGTCTCTCCCTCTGTCCAACCATTGACGAACCTCATTCACGCCTAGAAGAATGCGAAAGCGAAAGATCAGCGGCGAGCCGGAATCGCTGCGTTCAGCTGTCAAATATCAGCTATGTTTTCGTGGGCGCCCGCAACTGCTTAGGAAGAAAGGAACCGGCCATTGGTGCTTCGGTATTTGTGCAGGAAATTGTTAGCCGACTGCCGAATCGACTCTCATAATCCCTCGAGCACTGGAGCGGTGATAAGTAGAATAGCGCTAGTTTGAAGAAAAAATTCACGAAGCTTCGAAGAAAAAATAGACACGTTCACTGTTCAAGCGGGTGAAAAATAAGAAGAAAAAATTATAGGAAACCTCTTAGGAGTGAAAGCAGGAGTATTTCACATTATTCAACAAAGGCTGAGTGGAACTCTGAAATTCCCCGAGCCTCCCGCAATGTTCTTTACTATCAACATCTCATCTGTCTGAATCGTAGTGCTTCCTGCATTCGATTCGATTTCTCGCGTTCATCGTCCACAGAAGTCTTTGAACATCTCGCGTGGTGTTTCAGCTGCTAATTCAGCAATTATCCTTTTCTATGCATACCCTAGAGTACTGGTGGAGTCAAATCTTTTGCAATTATAGAGATAGTCGGGCTAGGGCGTTCCCACATTTATTAAGGGAGGACTTTGGGGAAGGATCCAATTAGCGACTTTGCTGCGTGATCGACCGCGTCACTAAGCACTGCGCTGCCTCATGACAATATAATAATGAATTCCAACTTAATCTATTGTTTAGCAAAAAGTTATGTGGGGACAAAATCGCTAACTGAAAATTGAAACAGAAGTGTTCATGACGTTTCTCGGTTAGAGCTTACCACGCCACAGTAAACGGTTGTTCATGAGGTTAACGGGAATTTCACCGGCACTTTTCAGCTAAATAACAATGGCATTGTCATCGGTGTAAAGAAAAAGATGTAGCATGCATGGAGATAGCACCTCGTTAAAAGTATTTAGGGCCGCTCTAGGGAATGTTAGGCTTGAATTTTTAACGGAAAAACATGGTGGTAAATGTCGATGACCTGCTGCTTAACCAGTTTCGCCTTATTATTGCATCGTTCATGCATGAAAATTCAGCGAAGTGGGCTCACATTTGTATGATTTCGATAGCACCTACAAAAAAATTACTTCGCAGTTAAGGACGATGGTCGCGAGAACCAATTTGCTCTTGGTGCAACAGTGAAGATCAACAGAAGGAATGAGATATCACAATTATTATTAGTAATATATTACTCCAGTAGTGTGTCTATCAACAAGATAGACGACCTATGTTAAGGCCTAGCACAGCGACTCGAGCATCCCGGGACCTCAAAAAAGCATCGAGAACACAGTGAAGAGAACAAAATCCGCCTCTTCTACAAATTTTTGTCGCTGGTATCCTCTCTTAGCGTACGCCTGCGAAAACTCGAAGCATTATTAGCAGAAAGAAAGCTTACTCAGAGTTATCGAACGCTATATCGAGATGATGCTACGAGTACCCTTTACCACACAAGCAAAGGGAGTAATCCAAGTTCATGATTTGTGTTAGGATTAGTAAGTCAAAATATCTGGCGCGGACGCTAAGGTATCAAAATTATGAAAGATCGGTCATGTAATGCGTTTTAGCAACGGATGGTGAAGCCAGTTAACGATGTTCCTAAAAGAGAATTGTGAAGCTGTCAGAATTTTTCGGTAAAACAGAACCAGCGAGCAACTCTGCCACACGGCAGGGAAAAATCTAACGAGTTGGGAATAGTTGATACTATCGATGAAGTGCCTTTCTTTTAGACGTGGTTAAATAACGGGATCACCCTAGCTTGAAAATGATGGCGATTTTCATCTTTCGAACCGAAATATTCATATAATGATGTATTAATTTTTATTTGCTGAATATTCTTTCTCCACAGCAGGGTGATATGTTAAATGCAACCACAAGGATGGATACGAGCAGGAGGGACCCTAGTTGGGCTACGAACCAGCGATTACCCTTCTTAGAGGATCACAGGAGAATGGCAAAATAAGGGATTCACTTGGTTTGGTGAGTAGTAGGTGAGCTCTGGGTAGAGATAATAAGGGGTGTTAAGCCTAGCTGATGTTGTGTGTTTTGCTCTGATCTCAGCATTCTTGTAGTTCTACTACACTTATTCTAGTTCGTATGAGACTTTACTAACCAAAAGCATAAGCACTAGAGTCCTTGATTTTCGACAAAAAGATAAACTTTTTTATCATGGTTTAATTTTAGATCTCTGGTAATCACAAAATTTTCCGAGGACGTTTTCAGCGCCGCTGCTGTTGAAGGTCTTCTCAGCAAGAAGTTGTCTTTATGCTTAAGAACAAATCACAAATGGATAGTAACAGGCGGAACAAATAGCTAGGAAGAGGCAAAATTTGTTGTATACCAAGTATTTAAACGTTTGTTGATTTCGAAACAAAATGATTGGCTTATTCTTGCATTTCTTCTTCTCTACTGGTCAAGACCTGTCGGATCGCAGATTGCAGCTCTTGATCAAATTTGTCCCACTGTAGTGATTTCACCAGAATGTAATAGAATACTGCAAATCGCTGTCTCTTCTAAAACTTGCAGCTTTTTTGAAATAATATTTTTTAATGGTTTCTTTCTTTTCACTATAACTGGTCAGATAACTTTGACTTTGAAAAGTGCTTCGTTTTCTGCGTTCAATGTAGTTGATTGGTGTATAGGATACACTTTCCGCAGGGTGTTACAATCTGGATAAAAGATGGATTCTTTTTTTGTTCCACAAAAAATCCTATAACAAACTCCATATCATCAGTCGCTTTCCCATTTATTCAGCTTTTCGCCTTCAAGATCCACTTTGCCATTACGGTGCGATATAACGAAGCAAGCATCTTTCGACGGCAGAGCGGTTTAGTTTCAGCTCACACTGCAGAGGACACAAGAGTTTGACGAGCAAAACCGTTCTGCCATTATCCTGCAAAAAGCTCCTGTTTATAAAATACACTTTTGTGTCTTCTTGGCGAAAAAAAAGAATGGCCGATTTATAAAATGGTCGTGATATTTCTTTTTGGTTCCGAATATTTCTTCGGAAGAAATTCCTGACGCGAGCATCTCCTTTTCACCATTACAGCTTTTTTCAATCTGCTTTAAAACTAATAAGCAGGGAATTAGTGTAGAATATGGACATTATTCGAAACACTGCCCATATTGATGTACTAGCACATTCTTTCTCTTATTTCGTAATCTTCAGTGGCAAAGTAGATGTCTAGTACAAGGGCCATTATTATGGATTCCTCCCCCGTCTACACGACATTTGCTTCGCTCTGCCAAAGAATGCTATAAGAACCACGAAAAAAAAGCACAGATTTCTTTTTTTAAGACACAGCACTATGACACGAAGTATTCTTGCGTAACGCGGAATTCCGGAAAGGTTGATTCATGCGGCTGACGGACCGGTTGATCGTCGATTTGGTGACGTATAAAAGAGCGTCAAGAGAGGCGCCACAACCTCGCAGCTCTCCAAAATGGCTCGACAAGCTCGGCTCGCATTCACAGCGTTTCTGGTAATTGGCACTGCTCTCGCGGATGACACAAAGGTAAGAAAAATTTACTCTTTATTGAAGTTCTTGTGACATTTTCTTCAATTTTTTTTTGGCAGATCTCATTTTATCCAGATGAGTAGATCACGTGATGAAGTAAAGCGCATGTAACGTAGTGATTAGAGGTGCCATGAAATACGCACATGGTTGTTGGTTCCATCCACGCTAAAAGTAAGCCAAGGTCTCCCTTCCTCAGCGACGAAAATTTGCTGCTATATTTATCTGAGAGATTAGAAAAATAGTAGTTCGATGCATCAGTAGAGCTTTACAAAGCTAGGTGTGGAGGATTTGGTTACGTTTTCGATACTCGTTGAGCGTATAGCGCATCTCTCAGAGATTGACCACCAACGAGCACTTCACTCTTATCTTTTATAGACACATAAGTAGTATGATTTTTAAAAAATTCTATTTTTTTTCAAGACGAAGACGAAGACGACGAAACATTGCTTTTTGTAGTGTCTTCTACTGCTTTTATGGAATAAAATAAATGGATTGGTTTCTTACAGAACGTAACAACCAAACAATTAACTCGTGCCAAACGCCAGTGCTGTTCCAGCACGTCAACGCTATGCTGTCCTCAACAGCAGGTTTGTCGCCTTTTCTGCTATACTTTTATTACCCTCATAGTAAAACTTCTAAACAGCTTTTTCTGACTTGCAACAAGCAAATTGGTATTCAATTCAGATTTCAGGTTGTCTCAAACTATGAAACGAACTTTTCAGTGCTACTTTAAAGTTCAAAATGGTGGAAGTCGTTGATTTCTAAGTGACTGTAGAAATAAAAAGCTTATTCACTTTAACCAGAATTTATTTAGCACTACTAGTGGTAATCATCAGTGCAGAGAAAAGCGAAAAATTCCACCCTCATTACCATCGCGGATTAATGGCGCAGTTTAAGGATTTTTCTTCGCGAAAAAAGATCTAAGCACTAAATTAGGAAAGGAGTATTGGGTTTTCTCAATTCATTCAATCCATTTAGTCGATTCAATGCCTACCGATTTGCCTTCAACAGTGCGAGTCTTCTTGCCAGAATATCCAGTGTGCGCAGAACTGTCAGCCCAGCTGCAACCAGCAATGTGGCGTTAGCCAGGTCGGTGACCTTAGCTTCCATTACTTTACATATTCATAAAGATTTTCAGCAATTTTACTGAACATTGTTTATATCACAATAGAAGAAGTCGAAAGTCTAGTGAAAACAAATTGCGGAATCGTCAAGCAACAATTGAAAACTGTCGGACTCACGAGAAGTTTTACAATGATATTAGAATGACAAATTGGAGAATGATAGGTACTACATGCCACAAAGGATAGCGTGGTGGAATAGAATAGAGCCCCTAACTATGGAAACGATGAGAGTGATCAAAATTAAGTTTTGACATGAAATATTTTCTATAGGGTTCATAAAGCAGCACAAATAGTGAAACAACTGTTACCAAACCTCCTGTTCTCCTCAGCGCGGAAATCAACCATCACCACAGATATATCAACTTCGATGTTGTTCTTTTATGACTGTATAGCGCAAACAGTTACTTCTAAAAGCATAAAATAATAAAATAATAGAAATATGTATATTCTTTCACGTCCACCTAAACTCTTAAGACCTTGTGAAAAAGACCACGTAAATCTCGTTTTGAGGAGGTGTTGAAGGCCTTAGTCAAAAAAACACGCAAAGAAAATGAGAACTCCAACTGCAATAAATCGCCAAAAAAAACAACCGTCCAATTAGTGATCTGTGCAGTGTTTACAGTACAATGGAACAACAGTAACCTAACTTTTGGCGCTACCTGAGGTTTTCTGCCCTTTACTATTTCACTTCAATTTCACCCGTTTTCGATGCCGGTAAAATCACGCCATATCAGGACCGCTTTAACCTTTTACTTTAAAATGTCTAGTGATGTAACACCAATTGAGGTTTTGTTCACGAAAAACCAACACTGCGACTTGTTACATACCTTGTTTGCTGGTCGCTGACCGGTCGCATTAAATGTTTGCAGAATGCAAATGTTCAAGATTCTGAATTCTGGGAGATTTTCACTGGAGAAGCTTTTATTTTGATCCAAGAAACACGGGAAAACCGTCCAAAGACATCGAAATGGACGATGGATCGATTTCAATTTACCATGATAAACTAGTATTTAAGAGCTCTTCTAAGACTTAATTGCAGGGTAGTACTCAACTAGAAGATATTTTCCTGAAATTTTTGAATGTTATCCAACTTTTTCACTCATGGTCGTGCATTGTTTCGCTCGAAGAAAATAGTTTGTTGGTAACCTCTTGGTTTTTTATTTTATTTCTTTCTTGCACAGAATTTAGATATCCCTAACAACCTGTCTTGTTCTACAACGTTTCGAGTTTTGTTCCATCTTTTGTTAATATAAAGGTAAATAACAGCTGACATTCTGTCCAGGTAATCGTCATTGAAGACAGCTGCAACAACCTGTGCAACCAGCAGTGCCAGTCGTCCTGCTACACTCCGATCTGTGCTGCGTCCTGCCAGCCATCCTGTTCCGTAGCCTGTGCTCCGGCTTCACAATGCATTCCAGTATGCATGCCAACGTGCTCGCCGTCCTGCATCCAACAACAACAACAACCGATCGTCGTGGTTGTGCCTCAAAACGACGGCTGCTCGAATTTTTGCCAATCTCAGTGCTCGTACTGCACGACACCCGTCTGCCTGCAGACTTGCACCAATCAGTGCCTCCAGTACTGCAATCCGTGCCAGGGAAGTTCGTGCAACAGCAATCAACAACAGGTAATGTAAAATTATGTTTTGTCACTCTGTAGTAGATTTACATCAACATGCAGGTCTACAACACGTATGACTTCTTTATAAGATATAAGTGTTCATAAGATCCACCTTAATAAGGAATGATGAAAATGATGCATTGCAAAATTAGATACTGTTGCGCAAAAATGCCTCTTCATCGTCCTCAGTGCCAGTTTGATGTTAGCCTTAGGTCAGTCATACCAGCACTTTCGATGAGTAAATTCGAAATTAAAAATCTAAGGATTTAACGGAAAGTAACCATGGTAAGGCATATGATAGTCTTAAATCACTCAAAAAAACCCATGTTTCGTAGATACGATCAGAGCTGGGTAGTTTAGAAGTTTAACAAAAATAAACCCTAACGAGAGTTAAGCTTTACTGAAGCACGTAGTGCTTTCCAAAACTCTGTTAATCTTAGAATTTATCATTTTATCTTCGACGATGCAGCACTAAGTCCTCATGCCACTTGTTTTGTTTTTACGTCATGATTTCACTCTCTAATTAGCTTAAAAAATCGATAAAATACGTTTTTCACTTGATATTGAAAGGATGGATTTAAATTTCGATAATAAATTAAACAATTTACCAAAAAAAATAGTCGAAGATGTTTCGCAACAGCTATAGCAATTGAATAACTTTCCGTGAGAAATAGAATCTTGCACGAAGGAGTCGATGGTCTGATTTCGTGTAGAATTTTGAGACAACAGCGATATCGGCTAGGCAAACCTTCTATTTACTATGATGTGGTCTATTTCTTTATGGTACTCTCCATTGTGAGACACCCACGTCCAGCGCTGAGGGTGGGGCTTCTGGAATTGCGAGTTACCATAGATTGTCTTGGTCGCCATGATAAACTCAGGTAGCTGCTCACCCTGTTCGTTCCATTCTAGCCCGTGGGTCCCAATGTGACGTTCTTCAGACGTTCTTCTTGGTCCAATCTTGGCGTTGAAATCTCCAATGATGACCTTGAAGAATGTGTGGTCTTCTCTGTAGAACTTATCCAAGTCCATATAGAACGCTTCAACTTCTTCTTCGTTACAATTTGATGTGGGAGCGTAAACGACGAAGATTGTCAAAGCCGGAATTGATCCACGTCTTTTTAATCGTAAACGTCCGATTCGGGTTGTAAGTTGTTCGAATGAATCAATGTTCATGGACAAGCTCGTGTTGACGAGAACGCCGTTGCCGCCTATCCTCTATTGTCGCATGTTTCGAGGAACATAGACAGTACTAGTACATACATAGATAGTACTTAAACTGAAGGGAATCATAAGCCACCTTCCAGGTTCAGGGCAGAAACTCCGCGACGTTAAGCGTTTTTTTAAGTTCGCTTTATTATTTTAAAGCTGGGCCATTGATGAACCTCTTACGACCACGTGTAAGACGATTTAGCATCTCAGCTTGGTTACTCCTTGCATAAGGTGGACACCCATTCATTTTCTTTCATCCTACGTTGATCCCACATAGCCCAAGACGTGAACAGCAACCAATGATTTTGATGCTTCGTGAAAGCTAAGAGATGTATCGTGGAAGAGATTAAGACATGCGCCAGCAAAACATTTCCTACTGGCGTGTTATCATTAGGAAAAAAACTGTCTTAATGCGATAAAAGACCCTCTTTCTTCGCCGCTGCTTAGAGTACCAAATCATTCCTAATTTTATTTTTAAAAAATGCTCTCAACATTGATCAATCCCTGAGGGTTGCGCCATGCACTAGACATCATTAAGCATTGTTAGAGGTAATGATATGCATACCTGACCTGATTAGAACTCTCCAACCAAATCGATAAACCCCCTTGATATTTCTTATATAAATTAATATAAGAGAATTTTTCCTTCAAATCAAAATTTTCCTCTTATAAAAATAAAAACTCAACTCTGAGACTGACTAATATACTAAAGAGAGTCAAAAAATGTTCACAAATTCCGACAGAAAAGATAATGACGGCGGTATACAATAACTCGCGGAGGCCTACCGATGTATCGAACCAGTGCCGTTATCCTTTCAGAGAAGTCTGGTACCAATTTGCCAACCCCGGAGGGATGGAAGACTTGCTAACCCTTAGACGCGGGGATCGATCTCTCTGTGTGTTGCAGGGCGCCTCCGACCACTGTGCCACACAGCGCCCTCTAATTTCGTTAAGCACAAGAAATTACACGAAGTATGAGGCTTGCCAGAGAATTATGAACGAATTCCGAGCATCGTCAAAGCTTTTGTTGCATGGAAGAAATGCATGCCTAGAACTTCAGTTAAGAAAAGGCAACATTTGTTAGAACTAGGTATAAATTAAAACTACCTTTTTCAAGCTTTCAATGAGGTGAAGTGCCCCGATCGGTTAAAGTTAGGTACAAATTGTATTATACAACTAGAAAGGTCGACTATCTCATGGCATAATTAAGATTGTATAAAACAATGCAGCCGTCTCATCATTCAATTTTTTAAATTATACTTATATTCAATAACTCGCACCTCATGTATGGCGACGCGCGTAGCGCAGTGGTCCGTGGCGTCCCGCAATACACATAGGATCGATCCCGGCGCTCTAGGCCCACCAAGCCGTCTATCCCTCCTAGGTAGCAAATAGGGACCAGACCTACCTAGAAGGATAGCGGCACTGACTCGATATATTGATTGGCCACAGCGTGTCACTGTATAGATTAGATATGTATTCGATCACCTCTAACGATGCTTAACGAAGTCGAATGCATGGCGCGTAGCCCAGTGATTGATCAACGTCAAGAGCTTTACCTTTGTTTTTTTTCCTTACGTAATTGAAAGCAAGCAAAATTTTCAGATCATCGTCATCCAACAAGAACAGCAGCAAACCTGTCAAAATCAGTGCCAAAACAGTTGTGTACGCTCGTGTCAAGCATCAGTACCAGTACAGCAGTGCCAAACGATTTGCCAGCAAACTTGCCAAGAAACTTGCCAGCAAGCCTATCAGATTGTGGTTAGTGAACTATTCCAATACTTCCACGGGTTGATATTTGAGATTAATCACACATTTAACATCCAGTAAAGATTGGTATGAAGTTTTCAGCTTCTTTAACAGCTTAAGTTCTGAACGAGTGAGCAGTTGAAAATACGCATTAAAATTACCAATCGTGCCTTTAAATCTGTAAAAACTTTTTTCCCTATAAATAAGTTTTAATACAGTGATATTTCGAAGTCGTATCTAGTTTAATACCTATCGTAACAAAAATTCTTAACGCAGCAAAACTTTCTAAGCCCACCGAAATGTAATCTACTTTTCTGTACTGATGTTTAATTAGATGTTCGAATATCCGACTACTAGCCAATTCTTGTCGTTCAGATTCCATGTCAACAAACGAGCTCCGGTTGTGGCTGTTCCTCTGGCTACATCCAATGTGGTGGTTCGTGTTGCCGTCGACGTAAAGTCTAGAAGACAGTCACCATTAGCGAACAATATTTCTGCGCAAACTGCGAATTAAATAGAAGCTTTTAGGATGCGAAATCGTATATTATGAAGTTGAATGTTAATAAATTTGTAATCCGGTTACCTATAACTATATGCATTCTTCTTCAGCTGCTTTAGAACTGATCTTATGACGATTCTAGCCACTGTCTGTGTTTTTAGCACTTCACCTATGCCTTATTGCGAAATGATGGAGCATTCATTCAAAGGAAAGCTAAAAAGCTTTGCTCTGCCTCCCGCTTCGTTTACCTAATCATTCAAGAATGTTGTAGTAAAATGCAACCTGATCGAGTGTTGGAGAATTCTTTCTACGGATTCGTAAGCATGCTAATGAAAAGCGGAACTTTTCATTCTTCATATAGTGGGAAATATAGGTGTGGGGAAAACTCAACATTAAAGAGCAGCTGAAATCCTAACATGCGAAGGTCTTACGCAAACCACCCTCTTTTGCAAACTGGATTGTGATGACATCATCGGAATCTTATCGTTCTTATACCTATTCAGGAAATATTTTTACAATTTAGAAGGTCATTACCGAATGTAGAGGTCGCGTTTTGATGGCTATCCCATGAACACAGAGGCTGTGGTGCCGATCTGGAGAAATAGAAGGTTTCCACCTCGAGATATCGGCAGTTCTGTATGATATGGTAAAATCAATATCTTAGCATTACGAGGCTCAAAGAACTAGGCGTAGTCTGAATCTATATAAAAGAAAGGCACATCTTAAATGGCTTGTTTAAAGTAAATGAGGTTTGCTTCGAGATAAAAATCTCTTGCACATTCCTCTTTAAAAAGGATAAAGCTCTCGGCGTTGATCAATCTCTGAGGGATGCGCCATGCATTCGACTTCACTAAGGATCGTTTGACTGAATGCATATGTGGCCTTTACAATGGCTCGCGATGACCTATCGATATAGCGAGCCCTCCTATGCTCCCAGCCAAGTCTAGTACAAATTCGTTGACCCCGGAAGCATGAAAAGCTTGTTGAACATCGGGCACGAGACCGATCCTGTGTGTTGGAGTCCGCCTTTTACCACTGCGCTACAGGTACCCTTTCTTCATTATCTGTCATAATATTTGACTTTTTTCGTGAGTCTGATTCCTGTCCGAATAATGCCACCCTACTATGAATACTGGTATTGGGCAACAATACGTTTTCCGGTAGCTGAGCAAGAATGTCCCAGCTGTGTGCATCAACCTATCATACCATCCTTTATCTATATTTGGCTACCCATCACTCGTTCTGATAGGAAGAAGCAGAGCTACCTATTCAGAATGGCATGACGTTGTCTCAACAGCCGTTTCCGTATAATTATCGGCCGAGGTGCCCAGATGACGAGCGGATACTTTCTATGTGAAGTCTGTCAAGGCATCATTTCATCTTTCGTTTTTATTGAATGCATGAATAATTGAGGATATCAGTACGGCACCGTGAGACTTAATCGACACCTAAGGAATCTTGCATAACATTGTATTTTAACATGTTTTGTTTTACACAGTTTTCATACCCCGCTTCAAAAAAAAACCAATTCTACATAAAACTGAGTTTTTGAAGTGGTATGTTTGCGCAGAGTGAAGAGTGTGCGATTCTTAAACCATCGGCAAACATCGAACAACACGCTATCCATCGGTGGTGATTTTCGCCCATGGATTAGTTTTTCTTCGCTTGGAAGGCTGTACGTCACTTTTTTTTTCGAGAGCCACCGTGATCGAAAACAGTTTGAAGCCAAGAAGAAAAAAGTAAACATGCAAGTACCAAGTGGCTCGCAATTAGCGGGGGAGGGAGGAGGGGTGGTTAAAGTGCGAAACTTATTTTCGAAAAAACTACACTACACTAACTAACATATAAACCAATAAAACCACATTCCTACATAAGGATATATCGCTCACACCACAAAAGTTGATTTTATAGAAACCTTTTCTTCGACTTCTTTCATCGAGATTTTATATTTCAAACACAAATCGGGGTTTCATACTGTAGGATATTGCGGCATCGCTGAATGTGTGGAAGGCGTCTTCAGCTGCCGTTCTTAAAAATTCCAAACACTTGGAATCTCATTCTGTTTTGTTAAAATGTTATTTTCAAACTGGAAATAGCGTTTCATAGGAATTTCATGCCCTTTCGGAAATACAGAGATTATAGAAGTTCTTGGAAAATCACCGGTCATTTTCGAAACAGCGAGAATGGAGAAGGTGGTGGTCTTGAGACACAAAAAATTTCTGGGAAGTTCTTTCCTAATTCAGTTGGACGGTTGGATCTTTGTGAATTATATTGTAAAAATAAACATATTATAATTATTGGTGCTGAAAATGCGAACAAAATTGTATAACACATATATATATATTATATATATTATAATTATATTTATTATATATACCGTATATTATATATAATATACGGTATATGTATATATTTATTTACAATTTATTCTACTTTATACAACCCATCTTCACGTCTGCTCTGCAAATCCCGGCACTTCTTACATTCGGTTCGTTTCCTCGCATCCACTGTCCATGAAGATCTTCCAACTTTTACGCGTAGCTTCGGTTGCTGGTTCAGGATTTCAATTTCATCTCGGATGTCGAAGAACGATGGTAAAGTCGATTCTCCCTGGAGTCCTGAGATAGTTGGGCTGGAGCGTTCCCATTTGAATTGCAGAGAGTTATTTTTTCACGGACAAGTTCGGTGCCAATTTCCAGGAGCGAGATCGAACTAGCACCATGCTCGTGATAACCTACATCACTATCGCTGTACTATCCAACTCATTGTTAATAACTTTAATCGATATAATGTGGATATCGTTAAACGTTCACTTAAACTTTATAACAAAGGCGTATCTAAAAAGGAAGTTTTTCGCTACCCTTGCACTTTTTATAATAATAATTTTACATTTTTAACCTTTCCGGTGCATATCGCTTGAGGCAAAGTAGCACAGCGACTCAGTAAATGGTTTAATTGTGTAATAAAGACGATGATCGAATCTACAATTTTGATGCGCTTAGTAGAGCACTCAAAATGCCTAAACGTTTTGATGACGAAGAATTTGCGGACCGCCATCTTTTGAGCTTTCCGCATGAGTGAAATATTTTTCTAAACTGTAACCGTTCCGAAGGAATCGTGACGGATAATTTTGAAGGAATTTTCGGACGAAGGCGTTTTTTCGACCACCAAGAATCGACCTGGAAGATATTATTTCGTTTTTTTGTAAAATAGATTCCTCACCCGGCACGATCGCTCGTCGTGCCGAATACGGTAAGCAGTACTAAGAACATAAACAAAGCGAAAAAATACCGGAAACAGAAATAAAAATCAACCAAAGAGTAAGAGCTAGGCCATATCTAAGCAAAATTGAGTGACTGCTGTGTTAACAATGTTCTGTTCTTAACAACCCAGCCAGAGGTGTATATTTATCATTTTCCAGTTAATAGAACCGTAAACTAATAATCACTTTTAACCTTTACATAACCAAACCATGTAAAACTTTCTCGATGTGATCTAGGCCTCAGTCCATATTTCCGCTGCATGCCACAGATCGATGAAACTGTCGGAAAAGTTGCGCTTGAAACACACAGCACTTGAGCGATGTCTTCTGAAGATGGACCGGCACACTCGACACCGGACCGGTTTCCACGGTTTAGATTTGCGGAGAATATTCCGTCATTGAAACGCTGGAGCACATCTCAGGAAATAAACATAGCTGAAGAGATCAAATAATGAGAAGACGAGAGATAACCAAGAAGAACTTTACAGTGGATCTCAAGAAAATTCAGGCAACTTCGAGAAAGAACTCAGTGAATATCATGTGCCTACTCGTTACATGTGTAGAACACTTCTATAAATAGCAAAATGTCTCCTCACATGAAAGTTGCAAAGCTACGGAGCGAATGGAGGAAGTGCTACGACCTGAACGGCATGTGAACACGGATTAGCTAAGTATTATATCTAAGTGAGTACCACGAAAATGTCGAAAATGGGAATGATTCAGGAGCGTATTGAATGCTTTGAGATTTCTCTTTCTAATCGGATGGCTCAAACTGGCAACGGAAAAGTCTCCATTCTTCCTTGTCATTTAGCCGGCATGTACTGTTAGAAACGAAGAGCATCGAAGTGTTGCTATAATGTCCTTTGCTTGTTAGTCGTATTTGGAAAAAAAGCAAACTCAGGTAGTTCGTCGAGCTCAGCCGTTGCGTGGGATTACTCTCTGTTGGATTCTCAAAGCTTCTTAGCCTAGGTGACCTTACTGGAATGGATGAACCACTCCTTCTTTACTACAATTCGATTTGCAAGATCACCGCAGGGTAGCCAATGTGACGACGTCCACCACTAGAGTGATTCCAAAACTATGATGGCAAAGTTCCAAGATATAATAAATGCCTATGAATCTCTAACGGGGACAATTGCTGTTCGCTTTAAATTTAGAAGAGCGTTTCATTTGATGAAGCACAAGTGTGGACCCTCTGTGGCGTCCAAAAAGTGTTCAGTACTCTTGAAAATTTTCCCTATAAAGACCGTATATTTACCTCAGCTCTTTTTTCTCACAACTCGTGCATTTTATCCGCTCTTAAATAGTAGCTATAAAGCTTTCAGTGCAGGCTAACGTTAGGTAACATTTTCGGCACCACCGAGTTAACTCGAAAATTTGTAGAAGCATATTGCTGCAACTCCTTCCCCTAAATACCATGGCATCTTATTCATGACAAATGAGTTCTACACTAGCAGCTTAATGGAAGAGATGGAAGCCTTTACCTTAGGCGGAAATCGAACTACGGCAACGTATCAACTATTGTCACCGCAGCTACGCAATGCAGTGGGAGTAAAGCAAGATTATAATTGTCAAATGGCCTAAATAAAAGGTATTTATACATTTCACCAACATCAGAACTTCTTTCCTTGCTAATGCATCTTTACAATATTCTTCTTCGATCTGCTCTATAGTCATCCCAGCCTGGGTGGCTATGACAGCAAG